TGCTCTGGGAAGCTCAGGGGGGGGGGAAGGGAGGGGGGGGGTTTGGGAGGGGTGGGGTTTTTTTTTTTATATATGTATTGTTTAGTTTTATTTTTTTGTATATGTTGTCTCTTGTTTTGTATTTTTTTTCTTTTTTGTAAAATTTATAAAACTTTTAATAAAAAAAAAAAAAAAAAAAAAAACTTCCAGTGTTGGAGCATTTACCGCTTCTGGAGGCAGGTTGTTCCACTGATTAATTGTTCTCACTGTCAGGAAGTTTCTCCTTAGTTCTAGGTTGCTTCTCTCCTTGATTAGTTTCCACCCATTGCTTCTTGTCCTGCCTTCAGGTGCTTTGGAAAATAGCTTGATTCCCTCTTCTTCTTCTCCCTCCCCCTGAGATATTGGAATACTGCTATCATGTCCCCCCTCGTCCTTCTCTTCATTAGACTAGACATACCCAATTCCAACAACCGTTCCTTATATGTTTTAGCCTCCAGTCCTCTAATCATCTTTGTTGCTCTTCTCTGTATTCTTTCTAGAGTCTCAACATCTTTTTTACATCGTGGTGACCAAAACTGGATGCAGTTTTCCAAGTGTAGTCTTATTAAGGCATTGTAAAGTGGTATTAATACTTCACGTGATCTTGATCCTATCCCTCTGTTAATGCAGCCTAGCACTGTGTTGGCCTTTTTGGCAGCTGCAGCACACTGCTGACTCATATTTAGGTGATTGTCTACTAGGACTCCGAGGTCCCTCTCACAGTTACTACTATTGAGCAAGGTGCCACCTATGCTGTACTTGTGCATTTGGTTTTTCTTGCCTAAATGTAGAACCTTGCTTTTTTCACCATTGAATTTCATTTTGTTAGTTAGTGCCCAGTGTTCAAGTCTGTCCAGATCCTTCTGTATCTTAAGCCTGTCTTCTGGAGTGTTGACTATTCCTGCCAGCTTGGTGTCGTCTGCAAATTTGATGAATTCCCCATCTATCCCTTCATCCAAATTGTTGATGAAGATGTTGAAGAGCGCTGGGCCCAGAACAGAGCACTGGGGCACCCCACTACACACTTCCCTCTATGTAGATGCAGTTCCATTGAGGACCACTCGCTGAGTACAGCTGGTCAGCCAGCTACGGATCCATCTGGTGGTGATTCTGTCTACCCCACATTTTTTCTATCTTATCAAGTAGTAGGTTGTGATCTACTTTATCAAATGCCTTACTGAAGTCCAAGTAAATTATGTCCACAGCATCCCTCTGATCCACTAATTTTGTCACTTGGTCAAGAATGCAATAAGATTTGTCTGGCATGATCTATTTTTGACAAACCCATGTTGGCTTTTAGTAATGATTTTGTTTGCCTCTAGGTAATCATTGATTCATTGTTTGATTATCTTTTCCAGGATCTTCCCAGGTATTGAGGTCAGGCTGATAGGTCTGTAATTTCCTGGATCCATTTTTTTTCCTTTTTTGCGGATGGGAACTACATCAGCTCTTTTTCAGTCCTCTGGTAGTTCCCCTGTGCTCCAGGATCTTTGAAAAATATAGTTCAGTGGTTCCGAGATCACATCTGCCAGTTCCTTGAGAATCTTGGTGTGTAATCCATCTGGTCCTGGCAATTTGAACTCCTCTAGGCTGTACAGCTGCTCACTTACCATTTTCTTGCCTATCTTAACTTGTGTTTCTATTCTGTTTTTTATGGCACTATTTTTGATAAGTTGGTCTGTTTTTTCCCTTTGTGTAAAGACAGATGCAAAAAACGAGTTAAATAGTTCTGCTTTCTCCCTGTTGCTTGTCATCTTCTTGCCACTTTCATCCACTAATGGACCAATCATTTCCTTCACTTTTTTCTTGTTAGATTGAGTGTGTCACTGAACAGATATATATATATATATATATATATATATATATATATATATATATATATATATATATATATATATATATATATATATATATATTAAAAATTACATTAAAAATTGAAGAATAGCGATTCCTTGATTTTATTTATTAAAACCTTGGTGTTTTACTTCCTGGTGATCGCTTCCTTTTTTACTGATATATATATATATATATATATATATATATATATATATATATATATATATATATATATATATATATTAAAGTTAAACCTCATTTTATAATGCACTAATTTAATTTATTTAATCCAATGAAAATGTATGGGTGTAAGTGTGTGTAAAAAGAGACAGAGAGAGGAAGAAAAACCTACAAATTCTGATTTATTGAAATGTAAATGTTGCTAGATGGACAGCACAACCAGTAAAGAGTTAGATGGCACCATAAAGTTAATCAATATATCATCACATATATCACATAAGGTGTTGTTATATATAAAGAGAATGGGACAACTATAAAAATGCAGGAAATATGTGTATAGAATGAATAGAAGAAAGAAAAGAATAGAGTAATAATACAGAAAAGAGTATGAGCAAGGAAACTGAATGCCCACAATGGCATAATTTTGTTTTATTAAAATTATGATGTTGTGCATCTTGAGTTTAAGATATTTGATCCCAGAGACCAAATATAACTGTATCCTGTGTCATTTTCATCCATTTAAGATACTGGATTTAAAGATCTAAAACCTCATAGAAATGTGTGCAAATAACCCCAGAGCATTACAGTTCCATTATCTTGTAGAAGTACTTTTGCTTTTCAGAAAGCAGACTTAAGAGAATGCCTATGTTATCTTTTAGGCAGCAAAGCCTCATGTTCAAATCACAAAAGAAACCCACCACAAGGGCTTTAAACTAAAGTGACCAATTTTTAGGATCTCCTAGACCTAATTCCAACAACCCCCCCTAGAAAACAAATCAAATAATGAGGTAAGGAATGTAGGGAAGGAAGACAAACACCTAATAGGAGATATAGGAAGTATACCTAGAGTCAGGTATGTATATAGGTCTCAAATGCCTATATACAAATGCTCAAAGTTTGGGGAACAAACAAGTTAGTTTGAATTATTAATATATGAGGGTAGATATGATGTAGTTGCAATTATTGAAACTTGGTGGGATGAAACCCATGACTAGAACATACAGATAGAAGGATAGAAACTATTCAAAAAACCCAGACCCCAGAAAAGAGATGGAGTTGCATTATATGTAAAAGACCACTATATTGCTACATAAATGTACAAAACCAAAATGTACAAAACAATAGGTGGAAGACTAATTCCGCATTGAACAGGTTCCTGACCAATCTAGCTGACAACTTTGTTGTCCAAAAGATAGAGGAGGGAACTAGAGGGACAGCCATACTGGACTTATTTCTTACTAACGGAGAAGAAGTGATAGAGGGAGTTGAAATTATAGGAACTTTGGGTAAGAGTAACCGTATCATATTGGAATTCAATATAATGCAAATACAAGCAATAGAACATAATCATACCAGAGTCTTAGATTTTAAAAGAATTGATTTTAACAAATTCAGACAGAGGTTAGGAAAGATTCTTTGGATGAAAATCCTAAAGGGGAAAACAATTTAAAAGCTTGGGAAACTCTGAAAAATATGATCATAAAAGCCCAGTCCAGCATAATACCACTGAAAAAGAAAAACAAAACAAAACCAGGAAGAAACCAACATGGTTGCAGAAAGATCTCTCGGATAAACTGAAAAACAAAAAGGATAAGTACAAAAAATGGAAAGACAGACACATAACAAAGGCAGAATATCAGCAGACAGCCAGAATCTGCAAAGATGAAGTCAGGAAAGCAAAGGCTTCAAATGAACAAAGTCTTGCAACAAAAGTCAAAGATAATAAAAAAAGTTTCTTTCAACATATAAACAACAAGAAAAAAAAGTCAAGGAAACAATTGATCCACTAAAGAGAGAAGATGGCAAGGATGTAACAAGCAGTAGAGAGAAAGCTGAGCTCAACTCATTCTTTGCATCAATCTTCACACAAAAAGAAACTTGGGTGAATTACTGACCCATCTTACTTTGAGAGATAAATGCATTTCTATTGGGAAGAATGCCATGGCCTTTTATCTGTGCACCTGTTCATCAAATCCACTTGGAATAGACAGTTATATAGAGATCAATAAACAGGCCTTGAGCTGAACAAATTGAAGACAGATCTAAAATTCCAATTTATTTTCTCAAGGATCAGTTTCATTGTCATTTTATAACCCTGAATGATCTCTACAGAGATTATTTCTGCTACAAATAATTGAGTGTCCATGTTAGGAAGCATCACTGTGTTATCCTCAATGCTGCCAGAGGGAAGATATTGCCTTATACAGATTTATGCATATTATTATTATTATTATTATTATTATTATTATTATTATTATTATTGTTGTTGTTGTTGTTGTTGTTGTTGTTGTTGTTGTTGTTCGTGGCACAGTCAGACTAAATTGTTGTTATTTCTTAAATTTATTGGCCACCTATCTTACTGTGGGGCTTTTCAAGGTGGCTGACAATAATAAAAAAGAAAAAAATGAAAGTGTAAACAGATGTAAAGTAATAGAACAATAAAATAAACAATGGAAAAAAAACATGAAGTGAATTTGGTAAGATAGCCAAAAAGATGTTTCTGACTTTCTGATATATATACTGAAATTTGCAATACATTAGCTAAGTTGTATGCTGTGTCTTCCGTTTACTGCCTCGGGCACATTACCGTTAATGTGACTGTTACTATCTCTTTCTTCAGCTGGTCTATGACTCTGCTCCATTCATGAATTATAAAACCCCATGCCTTTCCTTCTTCCAAATGAGCCCTATAGAAAGCCTTCAGTATGAAGGGATTCTGTCTTTGCTTCTTTACTTCATGTAAATATGGGTTGTACTTGGTGTGATGGAAAATGAAAATGGAGAAAGATTTTTAGATGCAATTATACCATTATTTTTCAAGCATGGTGTCTGCTTTGAAATCACAAAGAAAATTGCCATAATAACATCTTTTAATGAAATTGGCAGCTTGTTCATGATAAAATCATAGATAGCAAGACAAATATAATAATATTTTATGGTGAATCTTATTCCATGATGCTACTGAGATGGTTACCATATCTGTCAAAAAAAAAGAACAGATGGAGCATATTACCAAAGGCAAAGTCTGGATATTGACAGCCCAGGTGGAGCTCACTTCACATGTTTATCAACATGACTGGGATTCCCAAATGATCCATGGTGCTCTGTCGTTCACAATTCATGCTAATAACCCACCAGGATTTAGACCTTTTGTTTTAAATAGAAATCCCTCTGGCGCAGAAGATGGTTTTATCAAAGACTTTTGGCAGCAAGCCTTCAACTGTGTATTTAAAACTTCAGATATGGATGAGGTGAATGGAGATATCTGCAGTGGGAAAGAAAAACTAGAAGATCTTCCTGGAACATTTTTTGAAATGAACATGATTGGTCACAGCTATAGTATCTATAATTCTGTCTATGCCATAGCCCATGCTTTACAAGCTATGTTTTCATCCAGACTTAGACAGAGATCAGTAGCAGAGGCAGGAAGACTGAAGCTTAAGAATCTAAATTCATGGCAGGTAATCGACTCAACATCTGGAAGATCATTAATCACAAATTCATTCCATATCTCCATAATTAACTCTCTTTACATTTCCTTCCCATGCTTCCATTTCTTTTGACTATGTTTTTATCAGCCCATGATGTCCATTGCACCCAGTCTTACACTTTTCCTAAAAATGCATCAAATTCCTCTTTCTCTAATCTCTCTTTCTCTCTCCCCCCCTGGCCCACATAGCTACATCATTTCTTGAAAGGTGTTTCATTTAACAACAGTGCTGGGGACAAAGTGACACTTGACCAGAATGAAGAATTACTAGCAGGATATGATGTATTGAACTGGATTGTTTCTTCTAACCAATCCTTCGTTAGGAAAAGAATTGGCAGATTAGACCCTGAAGCTCCATCGGACCAAAGGTTCACTATTAGTGAAGATGCCATAATCTAGCACAGCTGGTTTAAACAGATAAGGTCTAATTTCTAGGAATCTGTGAAAATCTCGCTTCCAGGTCACCATTACTTTGGCCAGATGTGTAATGTTAATCTCACTGACTAGTGATAAGCAGGAGTAACTCAGTATTGAGAGATGATTTGTAGAAAAACATGTTAATTAATTCAGAAAATAGAGCCAAGATATTTTTGCTCCAGTTCTACAGTACTTATGAATTTATTATGTGTAATATAAGGTTGATCTGAAGTCTTCAAAACATTATACCTGTTGAGTCCGTGGCGGGAAAACAGACACGAGAAGCAGCTGGAGTTCTCAGTTTCATTTATTCAGTGTTCAGCTTACAGGAAGATGGCTTCAGCTCGCCCAAACGCCTTGCAGCCTCTTATATAGGCAACTCCCGGGTAAATGGGTTACTTTTCCCGCGCCAGCACCCGCGCATGCGCACGGCGCTGGCGACAGCCTGTCTGGTCCCGGGCAGCTTTGCACCTGCCCGGGACTGCCTGCAAACGCCCGAGCCGTTTGCAAGGCTCGGGACATAACACCCCTTTCCCCCGGGCTAAAACTACTACCAACATACAACATTTATTTTATATGACATTTTGCTCCCCAGTGCTCCCACTGATTACTGGCTTTTGCCTTGCCAGCAATGTTATGTAATCTTCTAGATACTTAGGAGATTTCTTTGCTCTCTGTGACCTTCTTAGCTCTGGGTTACTGGCATAAGTCCCCTGACTGGAGGGAGGCGTGAGCCTGTTCTCTCTATTGTGCCCTGGTGTCTTCCAAGGACTGTGCCCCGATGCCTGGCCTGCTTGCTTGCCCACCGGGCTCGTCAGGCCAGGGCTTCTGTTACTTTGTGACCTGGTTGACCTACCTAGCTGTAGACCCTCAGGCCCCTTGAAGTGATAGCCGCTGCTGGGCGTCTCTGTAGAACCTCCTAGGTCAGTCCAAGACCTGTCAGGAGGCTGTCCATTCCCTGAACCCCATTCTGTGTTCGGGCTCGTGTGGGTTTCTGTACTTTCCCAAAACTCAGGTGTTCCCTGATTTGTGCTAGGGTTGTTGTAGTCGGGACTTGGTTCCTCGACTAGCTCTGTGTATGTTTGACCCCCTGTAGGATTTGGGGTAAGGTCAGGCCAACCTTGGGAATTGTGTGCCAGCTCTCTTGCGGGGAATGATTTGTTGGGATGCCCCCGGGTATCCTCCGTTGCTGGAGTGCTGTGTGATGTGTGTGGAAAGTGAGTATGCCCCCGGGGTGACTCCCTGGCTGGAGTAGGCGTGAGTGCCTGTTGTGTGGGTAAGCTCCATGACTTTCTTTTCGGAGCAATTGCAGAACCTTGGGACGAGCCGTTTGTGGCTCCCTCAGTGGAGATGGGCAGTAGCTCTTGCCCTTCCCTTTGCTCCAAAGGGTCCCCCTCCCCCCCTGGAAAAGACCCAGGAGTCTCAGCAGAAAAGTCTCGCCTAGAGCGAAGTTGGTCGATGTGCCGACGCAGGACACGACCGTTGTCCAGGGCAACCTCGTAGGAGAGAGGACCTGTGATCCTGGACACAGAAGCGGGGACCCATGTATGACCAGGCCCGTAATTGCGAGCCCAAACCGGGGCACCCACAAGTAGTTGTCTAGGTGCCCTAGGATGTGAGGTAGATGAAGGCAGTCTGTCCGGATGCAACCGGTCAAGTCTAGTAGTAAGTTGGCGCCCCCAACGAAGTTCAGCTGGACTTCTCCCTGTAGAAGTGGACGGTGTGGTGCGATAAGAAAGGAGAAAGTCAGCCAACCTGTGATGCCAGTCCCCGGAGGTGAGTCTCTTCAAGGCGTCCTTTGCGATGCGCACCATGCGTTCAGCCATACCGTTGGTGGACGGGTGAAAAGGCGCAGACGTGGCATGACGAATCAGGTTTGCCTGTAAGAAAGCTTGGAATTCGGAGGAGGTGAATTGAGGGCCGTTGTCGGACACAATGACATCTGGCAGCCCGTGTGCAGCAAAAATCCCCCTCAGTACCTGAATAGTCTTTGCAGTGGTGGTGGATGAGACAGGCACAACCTCAAGCCATTTTGAATGGCTGTCAACAAGGACCAAGAAGAACTGGCCCTGAAAGGGCCCAGCGTAGTCAATGTGCACCCTAGACCATGGGGACTGTGTTTCCTCCCATCTATGCACAGGAGCTTGGGGCATCTCTGGGCGAGATCGTTGGCACAGGTGGCATGCGTGTACCTTAGCCTCAATATCTTTATCTAAAGCAGGCCACCACAAGTGGCTGCGTGCAAGAGCCTTCATACGAACAATGCCAGGATGACCCTCGTGGAGGGATTCTAAGACCCTAGTCCTCATTGAGGTGGGAATGACAACTCTGTTTCCCCAAAGCAGACAACCCTGAGAAAGGGACAGTTCGTTCTTTTGGACCAGAAACTCTGAAACTCAGGACTAGGGCAGTGCTCAGGCCACCCGGACAGGACCCAGGAGCGGACACGTGAAAGTGTGTGATCTGTACCTGTTTCAGCGGTAACATCCCTGGCACTAAGAGGGAGCTCGGGCAAGGCTTGGATTGATAGAATGTTGACAGCTGGCGCGGGGTCAGCTTCTACTACTGGCAGAGGCAATCTACTGAGGCCATCAGCATGGCCCATTTCTTTCCCAGGCTTGTGGAGTAATGAAAAATCATATGCAGACAAGAAAATAGACCACCTAAGCATTCTAGGGGAAATGATGTGGGGAGTCTGTTTACGTGTGGTAAACAGTCCCAGCAGAGGCTTATGGTCAGTGAAGACCGTGAAATGCCTGCCATATAGAAAATCGTGGAATTTTTTAATTCCAGCAACAACAGCCAGAGCCTCCCTGTCTATCTGAGCGTAGTTGCGCTCGGCAGAAGACAGTGTTCTGGAGTAGTATGCAATAGGAACCTGAGTTCCATCAGACCTGAGGTGACTCAGGACAGCTCCAACCCCGTAGGGGGACGCATCACAAGCAATGCACACAGGGAGAGACTCGTTGAAATGTGCAAGAACACTGTTAGAAGTGAGCAAGGCCTTGACTTCTTTAAAGCAAGCCTCATGCGCTTGTGACCACAGCCACACAGCCTGTTTGTCTAGTAGCCTGTGAAGAGGCTCAGCTACACTAGCTTTATGTGGAAGAAAAGAATTGTAGAAATTCAGGAGGCCTAGAAAGGCCTGAAGTTCGGCCTTAGACTTTGGCCTGGGTGCATCTAAAATAGCAGTTAGTTTGGATTCAGCAGGATGAATCCCAGCAGCATCAATTTTGAATCCCAGAAATTCAGTAGAAGGCACCCCAATCTGGCATTTGTCTTTTCTGAGCTTGAGGCCTGATTTCCTGAATCTTAACAGGACAGCCCTAAGCCTTTCAGCTAGAATGTGTGTGGAGTCTCCTGCAATCAAGACATCGTCAAAGTAGGGGCAGACCCCTGGTATACCTCGTAGTGTGTTTTCCATTACGCTTTGGAAAATCCCAGGAGCGACATTTACTCCAAACTGTAGCCTTTTTACTTTAAAGGCTCCCCTGTGGGTCACAATGGTCTGAGCTATGGCAGCATCATCATCAACAGGCAGCTGTTGATATGCTTGAGCTAGGTCAAGCTTTGCAAAAACACGCCCCCCCTTGAGAGAGGCCAGGATGTGACTGACCACAGGAACAGGATAGGCATGTTGCTGCAATGCCTTATTGAGTGTGCATTTGTAATCAGCACAAATGCGAATGTCCCCATTTGCCTTTAGAGGCGTGACAATGGGGGTCTCCCACGGAATCAACAGGTTCTAGGATTCCCTGTTGGATTAGTTTGTCTAACTCAGTGTCAATCTTACTTTTTAAAGCAAAAGGGACCCTTCTTGCTTTAATCCTAATGGGAGTGACAGTGGGGTCTAGCTTTAAGGACACAGGTGGGTCCTTTGAATGTGCCCAGCTGGGGGCTGAAAACATCTGCAAATTCTTTGCAGACTTCCTGTAGGTCGAGTGTTTGTAAACTGTTGAGTCCTGTGACGTGTATCCCCAGGGCCTCAAACCAATCGAGTCCTATGAGACTCGTTCGTTCACCCCCTACTACTAATAAGTCTAGTGGACCTTCAAAACTCTTGTATTGCACGTTAAGGGTGGCCTCCCCCTTAACACACACTCTTGAGTTCTGAAAATCTGTTAATACAATATCAGAAGGCCTTAACTTGGCCTTAGACCCACTTCTGGAACAAATCTTCCTAAATGTATGCAATGAAATGATGGACAGGGCAGACCCTGTGTCTAGTTCCATAGATAATGGAACCCCTTGTAGCTTCACGTTGAGTGACAGCTTTTTCTTCATGGGCTTGTGTGTGCCTGTTCTACAGATGCTTCTTCGCGAAGCGCAAAAACCTACCCTATTCTGGCTGGGGAATCTGGTACCCTTCAGGCGTTCTTCTTGGGGTTGTGCCTTTCGTCGGCCCAGGCACACAGCTGCAATGTGCCCTTGTTTACCGCATGCCTGGCAGGTAGCGGAGCGGAACTTGCAGTCGGTTCTCCTGTGGCGACCTCCACAGCCGATGCACTTGAACGGAGCCGAAGAGCTTCCCTTCTGGTTCTCTTCCTTCGCGGGGTGTAGACGGTCGACTTCCTCGTCCAGATCCTCCTCGGAGTTTCGTCGGACGTCTTCCTGGTGCACGGACGCACCCTCTGCACTGTTTCTGATCGGCCGCATGTCTTTGACGGCGCCGCCTGCTACTTCTTCTGCGGTGACTTCCCTTAAGGCGTCTTGGAAGGATAATTCTTCCTTTGCGAAAAGTCTCTTTTGTAGCTCTCGATGCCTTAACCCGCACACGAATCGGTCCCTCAGTCGTTCCTCGAGGTCCTTGAACTCACAGGGCTTGGCGGCCTTCCGTAACGCGGCGATGTATTCCTTGGCTGACTCACCGGACCGTTGATCCCTCTGTTCGAAGATGTGGCGCCATGAGATAACGGACACCTTGGGGTTGAAGTGCTCCTTCAGCAGCTTCTTCAGGTCTGCGTAGCTTACAGACTCTACTGGGACAGGTGCTGCAATGTTTTCTGCGATTTCGAAGGCGTCTTGGCCGCAAACGCAAAGCAGGGTGGCCGCCTTCAAGCTATCTTCCCTCACTTGGTTTGCCTTGAAGTAGTTCTCCATTCTGGATACGTAGGACTCCCACCGCTCTGGATGTGAGACGTCGAATTCCGAAAGCCTTCCGATTTTCGCCATCTTCGGATCTTCAGGAGACGGGTCTATCAGCCAGCCTACCCCCGAATGCGCACCGGACTGGCGGGCAGCTGCCGAGTCGACGCCGTTCCTCTTTCGCCGCTCAGGACTCCTTGGGTAAGCTTACACTTCTTCCTTTCCAGGTAGTGCAAGGCATCCCATCCTCGTCGCCAGTGTTGAGTCCGTGGCGGGAAAACAGACACGAGAAGCAGCTGGAGTTCTCAGTTTCATTTATTCAGCGTTCAGCTTACAGGAAGATGGCTTCAGCCTCGCCCAAACGCCTCGCAGCCTCTTATATAGGCAACTCCCGGGTAAATGGGTTACTTTTCCCGCGCCAGCACCCGCGCATGCGCACGGCGCTGGCGACAGCCTGTCTGGTCCCGGGCAGCTTTGCACCTGCCCGGGACTGCCTGCAAACGCCCGAGCCGTTTGCAAGGCTCGGGACATAACAATACCTTACTCTTCATGGATATCAAATGCATTGCTTATGGTGACTTAAACAATTTATAGTGAAAAATATAGCACCTTGAAGAAAAACAACCCAATTAAAGTTATTTACATTTTTTATTATTTTATTTTTTATATAATTGTGGATTTCTTTTCTCAAGATTTTCTTGAACCCTAATAGATTACATAATTCCCAGAGCACTGATAAATATGTTCCATTGTTAACAATATATATTGCTCACAAAAAATAAAGGGAACACAAATGTATAGGATCCTATACGTTTGTGTTCCTTTTATTTTTTTGAGCAGTATACATTTTTTGGAAGGAAATGGATTCTTTCTTTAAAAGTTACCTGAAAGCTTTAGAAAAAAGAGGTAAACCACAGCATTAATCCTGCCACCAATTATGTCCATCTATAACCCCGAGTTTAGCATTATTTATGAAGGTATGGCCATTTGTCATTAATTCATTATTTACTGAGATGATTTCCTGTTTTTATTGGAAATAGTCTTCAGTTGAATAACTGTAGCTTAAGTGAGAGCTGTGATATTGATGTCTGTTGGCATATTCTATAGTGAGATATTGGACCGGTATTCTTAACAAGGAGATGAAAACCTTCTTAATTCCAATGTACCATGTTGATTATGAAGAAGGGTATCACTATTGTACAGTTAATTAGATGCTTCCTGTGAATCTCATTCACATTAAAATCTTTTGCTGGAATCTCCAAGGTTATTTCGTCAATATTGGCATTCTCCTTTTGTTTCTTTCTTATTGATGCTTCAGTCCCAGCCTCTTTCAGTTTGTTCTGAAAGTTGCCACCCTGGTTCAAACAAGAAAGTGAAGGAAGGGGAACCCTTTTGCTGCTATGACTGCATCCTGTGTCCAGATGAGAAGATTTCCAAGAAGAAAGGTAAGAAATAAGATGTTTGGATTACCAAACTCAAGGTAATTTAGAAAAACAATGAAATACAAATTTGTCCACACAATGGACTTTGAACCTGAAAAGCGCCCTTTGCCAGATCTCACAATGAATTTTTTTTTTATTGAAAATTTTTTAAAATTTAACAAAAACAAAGCAACCCTTCCCCAAACCTCCCCAATCCTCCCATTCCCTCCCCCGACCTTCCCAGAGCTGAATACAGGCTTAGTTGAAATTTCTTCAAAAAATCTTAAAAAAGATATAAACCATGAATAAATCTAAATACATTAATTGAACAAATTATAAATTATAAAATAATTAACAATAATAAAAAACATAAATACCAAAAGAAAAATGCTTAAAAGGAAAAAGAATAAAGAGAAAGAAAAAAGAAAAAGATAAAATAAAATAAAATAAAAATAAAAAATAGAAATAAAAAAAGAATAAAGTCTATAAAATATTTTAAATTTTAAATATAAGTTATTAAAAAACTAAATAATATTTTTTTATATCCAACTTATATTGTATAAAATCTATCCATTTTTTCCATACCGCAAAAAACTTCTCTTGCGATTGATCCTTCAAAAAAGCCGAAATCTTTGCCATTTCCGCCAAATAAGAAACTTTAAAAAACCACTCTTGCAAAGTAGGCAAAGATTCCTTCTTCCAACATTGCCCTACTAACAACCTTGCGGCTGTAATTAAATTTAACATCAATGTGGTCTCTTTAGTATCACAATCAGTAACAATACCTAACAAAAACAATTGTGGGGTAAATTTTACCCTCCTTCTAAAAATTCTTTGAATTTTCTCACAATGAAATTTGAAAGCTTAGTGTGTAATTAGATTATAGTTTGCCTGGGAAAAATAATTATAGGATATTGTTTAAATTTATTTTTTTATTTTAGATATTTATATGGACCCCATCTTAATATGAAATATGGGGTGGTCCCAATCAACCACTAAAGAACATCAATAATATTAAATGTAATTGATATTTAAACCCTAAGCCTTAAAAGCCTGTCATCTATGTTAAGCTTCCACATACAGTACAGTCCCTCATTAAACCCTCCGGTCCATCTCACCCTATTCCAGCACCTGGGGTAAAACTCAGATTTTACGTATTTTTTGGAAGGCTGGAAGGGTAGATGCTTGTCAAATTTTAAGAAGAAGGGTGTTCCATAGGGCAAGAGCTGCCACAGAAAAGACATACTTCCTAGATCCCATAAGATGGCCATATTTAAGAAAGGAAACTAGGAATATGCCCACCCTACCTGTCAGGGAAAGATGGTTCTGCAGATAATGTGACCTGTACAATATAGGGATTTAAAGATAATAACCAGAATTTTGAATTGAACCTGGAAGAAAACTGGAATAGAAATATTCAATAGTAATAGAATGAAATCTGCATTCTATATTTTAATTCTATTCTATTCTGTTCCTTCTTTCTTTCTTTCTTTCTTTCTTTCTTTCTTTCTTTCTTTCTTTCTTTCTTTCTTTCTTTCTTTCTTTCTTTCTTCTCTCTCTCTCTCTCTCCCTCCCTCCCTCCCCTCCTCTCTCTCTCTCTCCTCCTCCTCCTCCTCCTCCTGTTTTGGCAGTCTCGACCATTCTTAATTGATATTTTTGTAGTCTTTATTTGATGTCTCTCCATCTTCTGGGTCTGACTTGTGTTCTTTGACCTTCTTTTTTTATATATGCCTTGTAACTAAGATACTTCTAAACACATTAATCCATTTGATTTTTCAGATAGTAATGAATGTTATCCATGTACACAAGAAAACTACCCAAACAAGAACCACAATTTTTGTATACCTAAAACAATGACATTTTTATCTTATGAAGAACTTTTGGGGATCACTTTAGTTTTGTTTGCCCTTTTCTTTTCTTTGGTCTCAGTGATGGTGCTTGCAATATTTGTGAAGAACCACAACACTCCTATCATCATTGCCAATAACCGAAACCTCACTTACAGTCTCCTCATCTCCCTCCTGCTCTGCTTCCTTTCTGCATTCTTATTCATTGGTCATCCTGAGAAGATGGTATGTCTCCTGCAACAAATGACTTTTGGGGTTGTCTTTGCAGTGGCTGTTTCTTCAGTGTTGGCAAAAACCGTCACAGTGGTTCTGGCTTTCCTGGCCACCAAGCCAGGATCCAAGATGAGAATGTTTGTGGGAAAGAGACTGTCCAACTCCATTGTCATCTCCTGTTCTCTTATTCAAATACTGACATGGATACTGACATGGATTCGGTAGTTGAAGATATTATTCTGCAGTGCAATCAAGGCTCTGTGATTATGTTCTACAGTGTCCTAAGCTATTTGGGCTTCTTGGCTGTTATTAGTTTCATAGATGCTTTCATGACCAGGAAATTACCTGACACTTTCAATGAAGCCAAGTTCATCACCTTCAGCATGTTGGTCTTCTGCAGTGTTTGGATATCATTTGTTCCAACCTACCTGAGCACCAAGAGGAAGTACATGGTAGCAGTGGAGATATTTTCCATCTTGGCTTCTAGTGCTGGTTTGCTGGGTTGCATCTTTCTTCCCAAATGTTATGTAATTGTTTCAAGGTCTGACTTGAACAACAGAGAAACTTTAATGAAAAGAAAACAATTCTGATTTTGATTCATAATGTCCTTTGTGTAGTTTATAATTATGAAAACAATATCATCTTTTTCCAGAGTCATAAGGCTGCTTTATCAACATGTGCAGTTTTGGTGCTTTGGTTCACTATGAGAAATGTGGAGCAACATGGCTTTGTACACACACAAGGGGAGACAGAGGCAGCCCATGACAGAGAAATGCAAGACTAAAGATAAACCTAATAGCAATATCAATAGGATCTAGACCTATATACTATTTTATAGTGCTTTGCAGCCTTCTTTAAGTGAGTCAGCCTATTGCCCCCAACAATCTTGGTCCTCATTTTACTGACCTCAGAAGGATGGAAGGCTGAGTCAATCTTGAGCTGGTGAGAATCAAACTGCCAAACTGCTGGCATTTGGCAGTTAGCAGAATTAGCCTGCAGTACTGCATTGTAACCACTGTGCCACCACGGCTCTTAATAATTGGAATATTTGGAAAAAAACTAGTCCAAAACTCTTCACCCAGGGGACTTGAAGTGACATTTCACCCCTGGGGCTGCAGTTGACCTGCCCCACTCCTGGACACATGCACACATGTTAATAATTGGCAATGCCTTGGAATGGTATTTGGGGGTGATGCTTTTTTTTTTTTTTTTTGCTTGGAGCCGGCATCTCTGGGAGTGGACTGGAGTGCCCGATTTTTGTGGGAATAATAAAAAAAAGCATCTCCTTCCTTTCTTTCCTTACCTGACTTCCAGCCTTGTGCCATTTCTCCTTCGCAATCTGCCACGACCCCTGCAAGGAAACAAAGGAAGGTTTTTCTGGGGAAAAAAGGTCAATTAATCAATTCTAACTTCGCGATCTTTCACAAGAAGTTGGAATTGATTGATTGACCTCCCCCCCCAATTACTTTGTTTCCTTGCATGTGGCGGTGATGGATTGCGAAGGAGAAACAGCATGGGGCTGGAAGTCAGGTAAGGAAAGAAAGACAATTCCTGGGCGGAGTGAGGATTTCTTTCCTTACCTGCCCCACTTGTTCCGAGGCCGCTTTCTGCTCAGATCCATTGCTCTTGCCAATGGACCAACCGCCCACTTCAGTGCCCTTCCTCCCTGAGTCTCTGGCACGCCACCTGCCGCTTTGGTCGGCCTGCCAGCCCCAATCCTGCTCACCACCATCCAGCACTGCCACCCCAGGACTGCAGGGGGTGGCCTGGCATGGGAAGGGCATGTGCCTTACCCTCCTGCCACCATGCAGGGTAAGGTGGCCGCCCCTGCCCCTGCCCAGATGCCCTTGCCTCCCCCAAGCATTTTTTTATTAACCTGCGTTTCAGCTGCATTCTGTTTCTCCATTTGCTTCTCAGCTTCTCAAGAAGTTAGAAAGTCTGATGGAACTTTTTTTTTTTACCAATAGTCCCACAAACACGTGGTATTGATGCAGGTTGCTCGTGGATGGGACTGAAGGCCTAGGACTGGGGTGACGGCGCTCTGTGTGCCACCTGTTGCACGGATGCTATAGCTTCGTCACCATGGATCTAGTAATTGTAATTGTATAGAGAACAAATCCTGTTTTAGGTCATACTTCTGTTAAAATATTGAAAATTTAAAAGGGCTCAGAAATATTTAAGCATGACAGTATTGCTACTGTGAACTCTCTTCAACATGATAGTGTGCAGAAATATTAAGATTAATATATATTAAATAATTTCAGTTTTAAAATTCACGCTGGCTAGAGCTAGGTCAGATAACTAAAGCAGAGCATATCCAATTACCTAAATCTGTAAGTACAAATATTGCACTTAATTATTTAACTTTCAGGCATATTTTAAGAAAACTAAAGATAAATTGGCATAGATCTTGCCACGTGGTGCATCATGCCGGTGCTGCCGCTCACCTCAGGAGGCCGCTTGGCTCATTGTGCCGGTGCCACCGCTTATGGCAGAAAGCTACATGTCATGTCATGCCAATGCTGTCACTTGCAGTAGGAGTTATGTTGTGCCAGTGCTGCTGCTCTGGTATACCATGACACAATGTGCCATGCGGCCTGCTGCCATGAGTGGCTACACTGGCATGATGCAGCTTGTGGATTCCTGCCATTAGCAACAACACTGCATAAAGCAAAGCCACAAATGGCTTTACTTGTGTGAAGCACCGCACGGCCTCCTGCTTTGAGCAGTGGTACTGGCGTGATGAGCCACATGGCCTGCCATGAGTAGTGCACCAACATGATAAGCTACACAGCTTCCTGCCACAGTGGTGGCACCGGCCTGAAGTGTCATGTGACTTCCTGCAGCGAGTGTGTCATTCTCCTGCCACGTGGCATCCATCCATGAGCAGCTCCAAGTGGCTGCAAAAGTTGGGCAGTGGCGTGGCAGGTGTTGGGGTGTGAGAGGCCTGGCTGTGATGGTCCTAAGCTAAGTGGGTGCGGGGCATAGCTCCACTCCCTCACCCCGCCCTAGCTTGATTTTTATGCCTTTGCCTCATCCCAAAACTAGGGCTAATTTTGTGAGTAGGGTTTATATTAAGTGCATACATAACAATAAAGCTAGGTCTTGTTTTTGGAATAGGTCTTATTTTCCGGGAAACACAGTATCATCTACTTATCTATCTATCTATTTACCTACCTACCTACCTACCTACCTACCTACCTACCTACCTACCTACCTACCTATCATCTCTCATCTCTGTCTCTCTCAGATTTTCAAGCATATCTTAAACTGAAGATAGGTTAGATTTGGTCATCTTCTATCTGGGGAGTCAGTGCAGACATTTGGGGGATTAGGCTGTTTGCTACTGTGCAAATAGGAGAATCACATGATGTAATGGAAATGAGACCTGGGAGAGAAATGAGACATTCTCATATGCACAGTGTGAAAACGAGCAAAGTTGAATTGTTTCTTTATTCTGGTAAAATATGTTGGGCTGTATATTTTAGGTGTAGGTCAGAAGATTGGGGAATGGTGATGTAAAGCATAACTTTTTTTGTTACTGATTATTTCATAATAAATGTTCTTTCCAAAGCATATGTTTTTCTTTATTTCTCTGGGATTTATACTGGTAATTACTTAGTTCCTTAATTATAATAATACTGGTAGTTTTCTTTTTGTTTACTTCATGCCGAGCTTCAATGTCCAAGATCAAGATCAACAGCAAAAAGTTTGAAGGATATTATTAACACACCAGTTTATGGTATTTTTCAAGCTGGAAGAAAGAGTGAAAACAGACATGAACTGTCCAGGATGATTTCTGATAGATTCTTCTCTAAAGGGTTGGCTGTCAGGAGTTTTTATTACTAGACATTTAATTTTGACATCACAAAGAAATAAAAATACGAAAAGTACAATACTTATGATAGGCAAAATTTGGATTTGCTTTGAGAAGGATGGCTTTAACAGTTTTGCTGCTAATACTATTTTCTCCCCAAGTATATAGGACTGATCAAGTGAAATGTAAATTTCAAAATCTTTTTGTACCATATCACAAATATCATCAATGGGGAGATCTCATAGTAGGTGGCATAGGGACCTTAGGCAGTTTTTTGCATGGTGCCCTAAATTTTGAAGAAGTGCCACCACCACCATTGCAGGAAGATCTCATGTAAGGATTTTGCTTTAGTTTTGTTGTGGGAATAATTGGTCATAGAGCTGGATTCAATTACTCAGTTTTGAATTGTTATGGATGTTCATAATTTCCTTTATTATTTTCCTTGACATCTATCATTTCCTTTTGAAACCTTCTCAAACAAATATTGCCTTTTTATTGATCTGATCTCTCCTTCTTCTATCCATAACTTAATATGTTGGGCAGAATATTAGTGAAAATACAGCATTAAAATTCTTCATTTAACTATTTATTCGGAGTCCCAATTAGCTTAATAAATAATCCAAAGCCTTCCCTTTATAAATTGCAGAGATTGTCACTTCCAATTTTCCCAATCTTTTGTCTAATACAATATGGAGATCATTTTGAGATGCTATTCTCCAATGACGAGTGGTATTTCTTTAGATTATTTAATGATTCAAACTCACTTTTTATTGACTTATGTTTTGTAAACTACTCTGCACCAAAAAGATGTTTGCAGAAATAAAAGCATAGAAATGAATAAAACACCATTTTGTAACTTAGTAAATTTTATACTGTCCTACCATTGTCCTTGATCAATTAAAAATGACCCAGATATCTGTAATGATAAAAAGAAATGATTTCAAGGGTATACCAATACGGAGAATGCAAAACAGGTTTTTTTTATTTAAACTTCAATATCATAAATAAATTGATTCTATTCCAGTTTGTTGCCTAAGAATTACCAACATATCCTGGCCCTGGTATTTGCAGTGAAGGAGATCAATGAAAATCCTCATATCTTACCTAATGTCACCCTGGGCTTCCACATTTATGACAGTCACTTCAGTGCAGAGAAGACCTATCATGCCACAATGCTTCTACTTTACAGCTTGAAGAAATTTGTTCCCAACTACATCTGTGGTATTCAGAATCATCTGACAGCAGTGATTGGGGGATTAGACTCCAAAACATCAATTGTCATTGCAAATGTCTTGGATATCTACAAAGTTCCACAGGTAGATTACATCAGCTTCAAATTATATTGATCTAGAGAAGCAATTTTTGTTTTGTTTAAATAAAGGTTATTCTGTCACAGTATGTGATGTCTGCCTGCAAAACATGCTCCTAGATTGCAGTGAAATGCAGAACAGACTGATTTATATTTGGTAGATCGGATGCTTCACCCATTTTTTGATTTTTTTAAAAGTTAAACCTCATTTTATAATGACACTAATTTAATTTATTTAATCCAATGAAAATGTATGGGTGCAAGTGTGTGTAAAAAGAGAGAGAGAGGAAGAAAAACCTACAAATTCTGATTTATTGAAATGTAAATGTTGCTAGATGGACAGCACAATCAGTAAAGAGTAAGGTGGCACCATAAAGTTAATCAATATATCATCACATATATCAGATAAGGTGCTGTTATATATGTGATATATGATATATAGAGAAAGGGACAACTATAAAAATGCAGGAAATATGTGTATAAAATAGAGTACTAATACAGAAAAGTATATGAGTAATGAAACTGAATGCTCAGAGTGGCATAATTTTGTTTTATTAGAATTATGATGTTGTGCATCTTGAGTTTAGGTTTAAGATATTTGATCACAGAGAGCAAATACAACTGAATCCTGAATCAGGATAGTGTCATTTTCATCCATTTAAGATATTGGATTTAAAGATCTAAAAACCTCATAGAAATGTGTGCAAATAACTCCAGAACATTACAGTTCCATTATCTTCTAGAAGTACTTTTGCTTTTCAGAAAGCAGACTTAAGAGAATGCCTATGTTATCTTTTAGGCAGCAAGGCCTCATGTTCAAATCATAAAAGAAACCCACCATGAGGGCTTTAAACTAAAATTATGGAGGGAGAGTGACCAATTTTTAAGATCTCCAGGACCCAATTCCAACAAAACCCCCTAGAAAACAAATCAAATAATGAGGTAAGGGATGATGGGAAGGAAGACAAACACCAAATAGGAGATATAGGAAGCATACCTAGAGTCAGGTATGTATATAGGTCTCAAATGCCTATATACAAATGCTCAAAGTTTGAGGAACGAACAGGTTAGTTTGAATTATTAATATATGAGGGTAGATATGATATAGTTGCAATTACTGAAACTTGGTGGTTGAAACCCATGACTGGAACATACTGATAGAAGGATAGAAACTGTTCAAAAAACCCAGACCCCAGAAAAGAGGTAAAGTTGTATTATATGTATAGGAACCTTGGGTGAGAGTAACCAAGTCATATTGGAATTCAATATAATGCAAATACAAGCAATGGAACATAATCATACCAGAGTCTTAGATTTTAAAAGAACTGATTTTAACAAACTCAGACAGAGCTTGGAAAAGATTCCTTGGATGAAAATCCTAAAGGGGAAAACAATCCAAAAGCTTGGGAAAATATGATCATAAAAGCCCAGTCCAGCACAATACCACTGAAAAAGAAAAAATAAGAAACCCAGGAAGAAACCAACATGTTGCACAAAGATCTCTCAGATAAACTGAAAAACAAAAAGGATAAGTACAAAAAATGAAAAGACAGACACATAACTAAGGCAGAATATCAGCAGACAGCCAGACTCTGCAAAGATGAAGTCAGGAAAGCAAAGGCTTAGAATGAACAAAGTCTTGAAAAAAAAGTAAAAGATAATAAAAAAAGTTTCTTTTAACATATAAATAACAAGGAAAAAGTCGAGGAAATGATCCACTAAAGAGAGAAGATGGCAAGGACGTAACAAACAGTAGAGAGAAAGCTGAGCTCCTTAACTCATTCTTTGCATCAGTCTTCACCCAAAAAGAAGCTATAGCCCAACTACCAAACACATAATTGTAAAAGATAGATTAGCAAGAAAAATAAGCAAGAAAATGGTAAAAGAACAGCTGTCTGATCTTGATGAATATAAATCACTAGGACCTGACGAATTACATCCCAGAGTTCTAAATGAGCTGGCAGATGTCATCTCAGAACCATTGTACCATATCTTTAAAAACTCCTGGAGCACCAGAGAACTACCAGAGGACTGGAAAAGAACTGATGTGGTTCCCATCTTTAAAAAAGGAAAAAAAAACAGACCCAGGAAAGTAGAGACCAAACAGCCTAATATCAATACGCAGGAAGATACTGGAAAAGATAATCAAAAAAGAAATCTGTGAACATCCAGAAACAGATAAAGTTATAACTAGAAGCCAGCATGGATTTATTAAAAACAGATTATACCAAACCAATCTTACTTCATTGTTTGACAAAGTGACTAAATTAGTAGACCAGCAAAATGCTGTGGACATAATATACCTAGACTTCAGTAAGGCATTTATAAAGAAGACCACGACCTACTTCTTGGTAAGCTAGAAAAAAGTGGAATAGATGGCATCATCACCAGATGGATTTGTAACTGGCTGACAAACCATACACAGCACATAGTCCTTAATGGTACTAGCAGTGAGGTACCACAACATTTCGTCTTAGGCCCAGTACTCTTCAATATCTTCATAAATGCCTCAGATGAGGGAATAGATGGGGAACTCATGAAATTTGCAGATTATACTAAGTTGGCAGGTTTAGCCAACACCCCAGATGATAGATGCATGATCCAGATGGATCTTAACAGACTTGAACACTGGGCCCTATCTAACAAAATGAAATTCAACAGAGAGAAAAGTCAATACAATTCTAAGTTGCATCAACAGAGGGATTGAATCAAAATCATGTGAGGTACTAGTTCCATTCTATAAAGCCGTAGTAAAACCCACCTAGAATACTATTTCCTGTTTTGATATCATACTATAAAAAAGATGTTGAGACTCTAGAAAGAGTGCAGAGAAGAGCAACAAAGATGATTAGGGGCCAGGAGGCTAAAACATATGAAGAACGGTTGCAAGTACTGAGCAGAGCTAGTCTAGTGAAGGAAAGGACCAGGGGTGACATTATAACAGTGTTCCAATATTTGAGGGTCTGTCATAGAGAGGAGGAGGGTCAACCTATTTTCCATAGTACCCAAAGGCCAGACAAGGAACAATGGATGGAAACTGATCAAGGAGAGATTGAAATTAGAACTAAGGAGAAATTTTCTGACAGTGAGAACAATCAGCCAATGGAACAGCTTGCCTTCAGAAGTTGTAGGTGCTTCATCACTGGAAGCTTTCAAGAAGACACTGGACAGCCCCTTATCAGAAATGGTAGGGTCTTCTTCTTGAGCAGGGAGTTGGACTAGATGACCTCCAAGGTCCCTTCCAACTCTGTTATTCTGTATAACTGTACGACATTTTGGGTACATTTGAAAGGACTCAGATACTTTCACATGTTTAGTACCATGAGCAGAATAGTGAAATTTAATTAAAGCTTTGCAGTTGATAGACTAGCCACCCTGCTGTTTCTGAAGCTATGTCAGAGATTGGAACTGATAGCAACTAAAATAAATAAATAAAGCCTGAGAACATGAGTTTCAAGGAATATGGAAGAGATTTGGGGTTCTGCTGCTGTCTGGGCTCACTTTAGTTTCTCTGGCAAATCATAGACTGACTTCTCTTCATCTATATAGTACAGACTTTCCGCTGCTCAGCAGTCAAAAGACAGATTTGCAAGACTGTAAGAGTGCTAAGGGTTTGGGTAATGGCTGAAGACTTAGATAGATCAAAAACATCATGCCAGCCATAAGGAAAATGCCAGAAGTTCACACTGAGATAAAATGATTGAATATCCTTCCATAGCAGCTCAAATGAGGATCTGTGACCAGAATTACATGCTAAGGAAGACCCTTAGGTGAATTACTGACCCATCTTACTTTGAGAGATAAATGCATTTCTATTGGGAAGAATGCGATGGCCTTTTATCTGTGCACCTGTTCATCAAATCCACTTGGAATAGACAGTCATATAGATCAATAAACAGGCCTTGATCTGAACAAATTGAAGACAGATCTAAAATTCCAATTTATTTTCTCAAGGATCAGTTTCATTGTCATTTCATAACCCCGAATGATCTCTACAGAGATTATTTCTGCTACAAATAATGGAGTGTCCACGTTAGGAAGCGTCACTGTGTTATCCTCAATGCTGCCAGAGCGAAGATATTGCTTTATACAGATTTCTGCACATCATCATCATCATTATTATTATTATTATTGTTGTTGTTGTTGTTGTTGTTGTTGTTTCTTGCACAGTCAACAGGATGGTCAGACTAGATTGTTGTTATTTCTTAAATTCATTGGCCACCTATCTCACCGTGAGGCTATTCTAGGTGGCTGACAATAATAAAAACGAAGAAAATGAAGGTGTAAACAAAACAGATGTAAAGTCATAGAACAGTAAAATAAACAACGAAAAAAACCCATAAAGTGAGTACCGTAAAATAACCAAAAAGCTGGAGGGGTGGAAAACAGAGTGTGGAGGTGGGGAATTGTCTCCACAAGCAAATTGTTAGCCATGTTTGATTTCATTGTCGTTCCCTCTATCATAGTTGACATGCAGAATTTATAACCTAGTTCCTTCCTTACTGTGCAAGCTGATCAGAAATGTAACACTGCTTGTTTCTGACTTTCTGATATATATATTGAAATTTGCAATACATTAGCTAAGTTGTATGCCGTGTCTTCTGTTTACTGCCTCTTGCACATACCATTAATGTGACTGTTACTATCTCTTTCATTTGCTGTCAATTTTCCTTCAGCTGGTCTATGGCTCTGCTCCAATCATGAATTATAAAACCCCATGCCTTTCCTTCTTCCAAATGAGCCCTATAGAAAGCCTTCAGTATGAAGGGATTCTGTCTTTGCTTCTTTACTTCAGGTGGACATGGGTTGGACTTGGCGTGATGGAAAATGAAAATGGAGAAAGATTTTTAGATGCAATTATACCACTATTTTTCAAGCATGGTGTCTGCTTTGAAACCATAGAGAAAATTGCCATAATAACATCTTTTAATGAGATTGGCAGCTTGTTCAACCGAGGTGCAGAAATCCATGATAAAATCATAGATAGCAAGACAAATATAATGATATTTTATGGCGAATCTTATTCCATGATGCTACTGAGATGGTTACCGTATCTGTCAAACAAAGAACAGATGGAGCATATCACCAGAGGCAAAGTCTGGATATTGACAGCCCAGGTGGAGCTCACTTCACATGTTTATCAACGTGACTGGGATTCCCAAATGATCCATGGTGCTCTGTCCTTCACAATTCATGCTAATAACCCACCAGGATTTAGACCTTTTGTTTTAAATAGAAATCCCTCTGGCGCAGAAGATGGTTTTATCAAAGACTTTTGGCAGCAAGCCTTCAGCTGTGTATTTAAAGCTTCAGATATGGATGAGGTGAATGGAGATATCTGCAGTGGGAAAGAAAAACTAGAAGATCTTCCTGGAACATTTTTTGAAATGAACATGATTGGTCACAGCTATAGTATCTATAATTCTGTCTATGCCATAGCCCATGCTTTACAAGCTATGTCTTCATCCAGACTTAGACAGAGATCAATAGCAGAGGCAGGAAGACTGAAGCTTAAGAATCTAAATTCATGGCAGGTAATCGACTCAACATCTGGAGATCATTAGTCACAAATTCATTCCATATCTCCATAATTAACTCTCTTTACATTTCCTTCCCATGCTTCCATTTCTTTTGACTATGTTTTTATCAGCCCATGATGTTCATTGCACCCAGTCTTACACTTTTCCTAAAAATGCATCTAATTCCTCTTTCTCTAATCTCTCTTTCTCTCTCCCCCCCGGCCCACATAGCTACATCATTTCTTGAAAGGTGTTTCATTTAACAACAGTGCTGGGGACAAAGTGACACTTGACCAGAATGGAGAATTACTAGTGGGATATGATGTATTGAACTGGATTGTTTCTTCTAACCAATCCTTCATTAGGAAAAGAGTTGGCAGATTAGACCCTGAAGCTCCATCGGACCAAAGGTTCACTATTAGTGAAGATGCCATAATCTGGCACATCTGGTTTAACCGGGTAAGATCTGATTTCTAGGAATCTGTGAAAATCTCGCTTCCAGGTCACCATTGCTTTGGCCAGATGTGTAATGTTAATCTCACTGACTAGTGATAAGCAGGAGTAACTCAGTATTGAGAGATGATTTGTAGAAAAACATGTTAATTAATTTAGAAAATGGAGCCAAGATGTTTTTGCTTCAGTTCTACAGTACTTATGAATTTATTATGTATAATATAAGGTTGATCTGAAGTCTTCAAAACATTATACCTTACTCTTCATGGATATCAAATGCATTGCTTATGGTGACTTAAACAATTTATATGAAAAATATAACACCTTGAAGAAAAACAACCCCATTAAAGTTATTTATATTTTTATTGTTTTATTATTTATATAATTGTGGATTTGTTTTATCAAGTTTTTCTTGAACGCTAATAGATTACATAATTCCCAGAGCACTGGTAAATATGTTCCACTGTTAACAATATACATTTTTTGGAAGGAAATGGATTCTTTCTTTAAAAGTTACCTGAAAGCTTTAGAAAAAAGAGGTAAACCACAGCATTAATCCTGCCACCAATTATGTCCATCTATAACCCCGAGTTTAGCATTATTTATGAAGGTATGGCCATTTGTCATTAATTCATTATTTACTGAGATGACTTCCTGTTTTTAATGGAAATAGTCTTCAGTTGAATAACTGTAGCTTAAGTGAGAGCTGTGATATTGATGTCTGTTGGCATATTCTATAGTGAGATATTGGACCAGTATTCTTAACAAGGAGATGACAACCTTCTTAATTCCAATGTACCATGTTGATTATGAAGAAGGGTATCACTATTGTACAGTTAATTAGATGCTTCCTGTGAATCTCATTCACATTAAAATCTTTTGCTGGAATCTCCAAGGTTATTTCGTCAATATTGGCATTCTCCTTTTGTTTCTTTCTTGTTGATGCTTCAGTCCCAGCCTCTTTTAGTTTGTTCTGAAAGTTGCCACCCTGGTTCAAACAAGAAAGTGAAGGAAGGGGAACCCTTTTGCTGCTATGACTGCATCCTGTGTCCAGATGGGAAGATTTCCAAGAAGGAAGGTAAGAAATAAGATGTTTGGATTACCAATCAAACTCAAGGTAATTTAGAAAAACAATGAAATACAAATTTGTCCACACAATGGATCCTTATTCCAGAATTTTTAATAAAATGCATGGGAAAAATAATTATAGGATATTGTTTAAATTTATTTTTTTATTTTAGATATTTATATGGACCCCATCTTAACATGAAATATGGGGTGGTCCCAATCAACCACTAAAGAACATCAATAATATTAAATGTAATTGATATTTAAACCCTAAGCCTTAAAAGCCTGTCATCTATGTTAAGCTTCCACATACAGTACAGTCCCTCATTAAACCCCCCAGTCCATCTCACCCTATTCCAGCACCAAGGCTGGAAGGTTAGAGGCTTGTCAAATTTTAAGAAGAAGGGTGTGCCATAGGGGAAAAGCTGGCACAGAAAAGACATCTTCCTAGATCCCATAAGATGGCCATTTTTAAGAAAGGAAACTAGGAATGTGCCCACCCTACCTGTCAGGGAAAGATTGTTCTGCAGATAATGTGACATGTACATTACAGGGATTTAAAGATAATAACCAGAATTTTGAACTGAACCTGAAACAAAACTGGAATAGAAATATTCAATAGTAACAGAATGAAATGTGCATTCTTTATTTTAATTCTATTCTATTCTATTCTATTCTATTCTATTCTATTCTATTCTATTCTATTCTTTCTTTCTTTCTTTCTTTCTTTCTTTCTTTCTTTCTTTCTTTCTTTCTTTCTTTCTCGCTCTCTCACTCTCCCTCCTCCTCCTCCTCCTCCTCTGGCAATAGTAGTCTTTATTTGATGTCTCTCCATCTTCTAGGTCTGACTTGTGTTCTTTGACATTCTGTTTTTAATACGTCTTGTACCCGAGATAGTTCTAAAGACATTAATCCATTTGATTTTTCAGATAGTAATGAATGTTATCGATGTACACAAGGAAGCTATCCAAACAAGAAACACAATTTTTGTATATCTAAAACAATGACATTTTTATCTTACGAAAAACTTTTGGGGATCACTTTAATTTTTTTTGCCCTTTTCTTTTCTTTGGTCGCAGTGATGGTGCTTGTAATATTTGTAAAGAACCACAACACTCCTATCATCATTGCCAATAACCGAGACCTCACTTACAGTCTCCTCATCTCCCTTCTGCTCTGCTTCCTTTCTGCATTCTTATTCATTGGTCATCCTGAGAAGATGGTATGTCTCCTGCAACAAACTACTTTTGGGATTGTCTTTGCAGTGGCTGTTTCTTCAGTGTTGGCAAAAACCGTCACAGTGGTTCTGGCTTTCCTGGCCACCAAGCCAGGATCCAAGATGAGAATGTTTGTGGGAAAGAGACTGTCCAACTCCATTGTCATCTCCTGTTCTCTTATTCAAATAGGTATCTGCATGACATGGCTAACAACTTCTCCCCCATTCCCAGATACTGACATGGATTCGGTAGTTGAAGAAATTATTCTGCAGTGCAATCAAGGCTCTGTGACTATGTTCTACAGTGTCCTAAGCTATTTGGGCTTCTTGTCTGTTATTAGTTTCATAGTTGCTTTCATGGCCAGGAAATTACCTGATACTTTCAATGAAGCCAAGTTCATCTCCTTCAGCATGTTGGTCTTCTGCAGTGTTTGGATATTGTTTGTTCCAACCTACCTGAGCACCAAGGGGAAGTACATGGTAGCAGTGGAGATATTTTCCATCTTGGCCTCTAGTGCTGGTTTGCTAGGTTGCATCTTTCTTCCCAAATCTTATGTAATTCTTTTAAGACCTGACTTGAACAACAGAGAAACTTTAATGAAAAGAAAACAATTCTGATTTTGATTCAAAATGTCCTTTGCTGTAGTTTATAATTATGAAAACAGTACCATCTTTTTCCAGAGTCATAAGGCTGCTTTATCAACCCCTGCACTCCTGGTTTCCATGTGCAGGTATTGGTGCTTCAGTTCATTATGAGAAATGTGGAGCAACATGGCTGTGCACACACATAAGGGGAGACAGAGGCAGCCCATAACAGAGACATGAAAGGCTAAAGATAAAGTTAATAGCAATAGGATCTAGACTTATATACCATTTCACAGTGCTTTAGAGCCTTCTTTAAGTGAGTCAGCCTATTGCCCCCAACAATCTGGATCCTCATTTTACTGACCTCAGGAGGATGGGAAGCTGAGTCAACCTTGAGCTGGTGAGAATTGAACTGCCAAACTGCTGGCAATTGGCAGTTAGCAGAATTAGCCTGCAGTACTGCATTGTAACCACTGTGCCACCACGACTGTTAATAATTGGAATATTTGGAAAAAACCTAGTCCAAAACTCTTCACCCAGGGGACTTACTTGCAGTGACATTTCACCCCTGGGGCTGCAGTTGACCTTCCCCACTCCTGGACACACACACACATGTTAATAATTGCAATGCCTTGGAATGATGGCGATGGCTGCGCCGATGGTGGTTTTCTTCAGCTCTCCGCCCTAGGATATGTCAAAGCCAGCTGAGACAGCGTGCAATAGCTGTCTCACAGCTGGGAACCTCTCTCCCTGGGCGAAGGGGGGAGGTGAGCTCTCCTCAGATAGTGGTAGAGCTTCCCGAGAGCCCAAAGTTTTTTTTTTGGTGGTCAGGGTGAGAGCTCCCATGGAGTCTGGGGTGTTCTCCACATTCCAGGATGCCTTTGCCCTGATTTTTCTCCAGGGCAAAGCTGGACGCTGCTTCCACATTTGCACTTAAAATGAATTTGTGAGTAAAATTTAAAGCAGACAGAGTTGACCAGAAGAGATTAAAATGGAGATTATTTCGAGACTTTAACTCTGGAAAAGAATTTATCTTCTCCTTTTTTTAATTAAGAGTGGTGAAAAATGGCGCTGAGATGTTGATTCTTTGAGTGAAAGGACCAGAACTTCTATTTGGAACAATGTAACAGATTTTGTATTTATATAAAATGTAAGAATCTTCTTTTTTTTCTCTTTTAAGGGGGCTTTTGTCTTTTTTCCTCCCCCTTTTTTTCTTTTTTTTTGGTATTTGTTGATTTTATAAGATTTTAGCAGACTTTTTAACAAGTGATCTTAAAAATAAAATGGCTTCAAAGCGTCTCAGAGCTTCTGTTGTTTCTAAAGCCTTGATCTTTCTGGTAATGCAGACAGCTCAGCAAGCTAAGTTTAAGTTACCACCACCTTCTCCATCGTCATCAGCATGTATACTTAAAGATTTACAGGACGCCTTGGGAAATATGGCACAACAGATTAAAGAAGAGATGGAGGAATTTTTTGAAAATAAAATTAGGGAACTGAGAGAGGACATAGTGTTTGCGTTTCAAAAGTTTGTTGGTCATATAGATCGTCTGGATGATTGTATTGATGATGATGTGGAAAATTTTGAAAAACTGGAAGATTGAATTGACAAAGTAGAAAATAAGGTGCACCTAATACAGGATGAAATTACTAAGTTACAATATAGAGATATGGAATTTGCTTTAAGAATAAGGGGAATGAAGGAAAACATGCAAGAGAATTTGAGACAAGTGGTGGTAAAAGATATAGCTTTCATTTTGGGGGCTGAGCCTGAAGAAATACTGAGAGAGATGGAAAAAGTTTTTAGGGCTAATTCAAGGTTTGCGAGGCTGAGGAATTTGCCACGGGACGTGGTTATTTATTTTTCTAGGAGATCACCTCATAACGAATTTTTACAGGCTTTTTATAAGCAGAGATTTCAAATTGCAGCTCAAGATGTTATAATTTTAAAAGAAATACCTTCAAAAATTCTTTGAAAAAGAAAGGATTTTGCTTTTTTGGCTGATGAGCTCAAAAAATGACAGGTTCAGTTCAGATGGGAGATACCAGCTGGAATAGTGGTGAATTATGCGGGGATGTATTATAGACTTAATACAATTTCAAGGGCGAAAGTGTAAGAACGTCCTGACTGTGGTCAATGGAACCAAGACATCAGGCACGTTGCAGTATCCAACAAGGTTTTTATTTCGCTGTGTTGAAAACAAAGTCAGCCCTGGGAGGATTCCCGCCCCAGCGCCCTAAATACATCCCATTACCACACCCACGGCACACACCCAAATTACCCTGATTACCACCTATAACTCCACCCACACCACACCCCGTCTCTCCCTATTTCCTTCGTATCCAAACTCTGTCAGACCCAGCGTCCCAGTATAACAATGTCCATTGCGCCTGCCCAATACGGCCCGTCCCGAGCCACGCCCCGCTCTCTACGTCAGTTGGTCACGTGGTCCGTTGGCCCGTCATTGTAGGAGCGTCAGCAACACTCTGATAACAGCGCCGGCGGTTCAGCTTGCAGCGCCAACGGGACCGACTGAAGGTGCATGCATTCGTCATCTCACGTAGTGCAGGACTACAAACAGGTAGGTTTCACGCTGGGTCTGACATTCGGCCTCCCCTCACCACAGTGCCCCCTGAAACGGAATATAACAGATCAATATATCATCTAGGTCATGCATATGATATGTTACTAGCTAGGATTTCCCCTTGTCCTTGGCCTGTGTGGCCATGTCTTGTGATACCGACGGATTAGGTCAGGAGCGAAGACATTCTCCCTCTGCACCCAAGAAGCGTCGGACAAGGGATATCCCTTCCATAATACCAGGTAATACACTTTACCCCCCCGCAATCGTGAGTCCAGTATGTCCTGTATCTCATACCGTCCCAGAGCTACGGGTCCTGGAGGGTCTTTACGGCCGTCCCTTCCTATCGGCTTTAATAAACTCACATGGAAGACCGGATGAATCTTACCAAGAAAGTCCGGCAATTGAAGTTTCACCATAACAGGATTGATGACGCGTACTATGCGGAAAGGCCCAACGTATTTTGGCGCTAGCTTCTTGCATGGCACCTGTAACTTAAGATATTTGGTCGAGAGATATATCTGATCCCCCACTCGTAACTGGATTGGTACTCTACGACCCTTGTCAGCCTGATCTTTTGCTGCCTGTTCTGCTTGACCTAACGCCTGCTTTACCGTACCCCACACCTGACTAGCACGGGATAGTCAGTCCTCTGGCTGATGGGCCAGGGAGTTCTGTGATTCGCAACCGGGTAAGGGAGCCAGGTCGTACCCATAAACCACTTGGAAGGGGGTGAGCCCGGTGCTTTTATGTACTGCGTTGTTATAAGCTAGCTCGGCAAAGGGTATGAAATCTATCCAATCCGACTGTTGGAAAGACACATAACACCGTAGATATCGTGAAATGGTGGCATTGGCTCGTTCTGCCGCCCCATTGGTACACGGATGGTATGCGGAGCTCAACCCTTGTGTGGTTCCAATGCTGGCAAGGAATCGGCGCCAAAACTGAGCCGTGAATTGAACACCACGATCTGAGATGATTCGCCGGGGGGCTCCATGAAGTCGGTAAATGTGTTGCACGAATAGTTTCGCTAACTTTTTTGCGGACGGCAGTCCTTTGCAGGGTATAAAGTGAGCCTGCTTCGAGAATAGATCAATCACCGTCCATATGACCGTGTAACCCCTTATATTCGGTAAATCCATGATGAAATCCATTCCAATGTCCTGCCATGGCCGAGCTGGGTCAGACACCGGTTGTAGTAATCCCATCGGCTTTTTTGGTATCACCTTCGCCTGGGCGCAGACTTGACATCCTTTTACATATCCTTCAATGTCTTTCCTCAAGCCCGACCACCAGAACTGGCGCCTTGCCAAGTGTAACGTCTTCACAAATCCGAAATGGCCTGCTACCTTGGAATCATGGCATTGATGGTATACCCGATTCCGCACTTCCTGGGGAACGTATAACTTATCCCCATACCAGGCCAAACCATCACGCCGGGTCAACATTCCGGGATTCGCTATTAGCCAAGGATCAGTCAACAACGCGGATTTCACTTCCTCTTCGAATGCTATCAGTTTGGCACACACATCCACCCATGCGGAGTCCCTATTACATGGCGGTATAATGGCCTGGACCACTTGTTCCCTCTTACTGTCGTACTGCAGCAGTCTGGAAAGGGTGTCCGCTAGAAAATTCTTTCCTCCCGGGACAACTTTCAGACAGAACCTGAAACGTTGAAAATATTGCGCCCATCGGACATGTTTAGGCGCCAATTTCCTTGGTGTTTGGAGCACCACTAGGTTCTGGTGGTCTGTCCAGACCTCGAAGGGGTACTGTGCACCCTCCAACAAATGGCGCCAGGTGGACAATGCCCATTTTACAGCAAACACCTCCTTTTCCCACACCGCCCACCGTCGTTCTGTGTCGGTGAATTTTTTGGAGGTATATGCGCATGGTTGTAGGGCGCCTTGCTCGTTACGTTGCAATAGAATTGCTCCGACGGCCACATCACTGGCGTCGGCTTGGACAATGAATGGCCGACCCGGATCAGGATGTATCAGCACCGGCTCCTGTGCAAATAATCTTTTTAGAGACTCGAATGCCTGTTGACAAGTCACAGTCCAATCCAACGGTTGTTTCGGGTGGGATTTTCCGGCGGTGTGCTTGGTGCGCAATAACTGCGTCAATGGTAGGGCCACATCAGTGAAAGAAGGTATAAATTGTCGGTAGAAATTAGCAAACCACAAGAACCGTTGTAGCTGGCGACGATTCCTCAGGGCTTGCCATTCCAATACGCTGCGCACTTTACTAGGGTCCATCTCTATCCCCGCTGCCGAAACCCTGAACCCTAAATAGTCAATGCGGTCTTTATGGAACTCACACTTCGATAGCTTACAGTATAGCTTAGCCTCCAACAATTTCCTCAACACCGTCCATACTAGTCGTATGTGGTCTTCCAGTGTTTGCGAGTATATGAGTATGTCATCCAGATACACAAGCACGCCCCTATAT